CTCTTTATTGGGAAAGAGAGCTTCACTAAGTCCTCCTTGTAATTGACAGCTAACAGAGATAGGTAAGATGGGGTGGGGAGACCCAGAACTGTGGACATGGATCCTGTCACGTGCACGAACGAGCTCCAAGTAACATGCGCGTGACCAAAACCACCTCGACACATGGTGAATGGTTTCGTCCGCTCGTCTGGACCATTGTGAGCGCTCCCAGACTATGATTCGGTGCCCTATCGCATGATGACAATGATGGCATGAAAGTGACCATTCCCGTTGGACTTGAGCAGCTGGTCTGGACCCTTAAAGGGTGGCGGTCGGAACCATAGGAAGATTTACAGGGGTGGAATCGGGGTGTCTAAGAAACGAGGATGGGTGGTATATTGCCGGGGTGTGGTGCGATCAATCTATTCGGTTTGATTTCCTTTTTCTGCGCAGCATGCTTCGCAATGCGCTATATATTCTTACACCTTGATTGATAGGTGAGGGGTGGGAGATACTTCCTTCCCACCGGTTAAGCGGAGTGAGGGGGCAGTGGAAGCTCTCAATCTATCTGGAAACTAGATGTCAAGTCTAGTTCAAGGGGCACCATCCGCAGACAATTTTGGTGACGACCCCAACCAAAGTTCTCTCTGAACGAACCATCTGTTCGAAGAACGTACTGCGGCAGTATTCGTAGATGAACAATGATCTATTCTGTTTTTGCGCATTGCAGAAGAAGAGTGCTACAAGCCACGTCTTAAAACGAAACCTTTAGGTGTGTTTGCTGGTCACGGTATAGATAGGCATACGAAGAAGCTCAGGCGCGGTGGGACTGGTCATCATGAACTTGAGGACAAAACGCACGGTGCTTTCTGTTGCCAAGCAGCTTAAGTAGGTGGTAGCATCCCCAAAGGTCTCACAGAGCCTCTATGCAGTCCCTTCTCTTCTTTCTAATAATTGATGCAAAATACTTTTGTGATTGAAAAGGGACCGTGATCACATCCCTTCTAACATGCTTTTGAATGTGACAAGTGATATAGGCAAGCAATTTTTCATTGTGGTCCTCCTTATACGCCTGCCGTGAGACGTGGACTGTCTACAGACGTCACATGCAGCTCCTGGAACGTTTCCATCAGCGCTGCCTCCGGAAAATCCTGCAAATCTCTTGGGAAGACAAGCAGACAAACGTCAGTGTGCTGGAAGAAGCAAAGACCACCAGCATTGAAGCAATGGTCCTCCAACATCAACTCCGCTGCCGGCCACGTTGTCCGGATGCCTGACCACCGTCTCCCAAAGCAGTTGCTCTACTCTAAACTCAAGAATGGAAAATGGAATGTTGGTGGGCAGGAAAAGAGATCGAAAGATGGGCTCCAAGCCAACCTTAAAAACTCTGGCATAGACACTCAAAACTGGGAAGCCCTGGCCCTTGAGCGCTCCAGCTGGAGGTCAGCTGTGACCAGCAGTGCTGCAGAATTTGAAGAGGCACGAATGGAGGGTGAAAGAGAGAAACGTGCCAAGAGGAAGGCGCATCAAGCCAACCCCGACCAGGACCGCCTTCCACCTGGAAACCAATGCCCTCACTGCGGAAGAAGATGCAGAGCAACAATAGGGCTCCACAGCCACATACGAACCCACAAGAATATTGGAAGACAATCATCCTCGGAAAGCGAGGGATCGCCTAAGTAAGTAAGTAAAAAGTAAAAGTAAGTAAGTAAGGGTACAAATCAAGATTTATTATTATTATTATTATTATTATTATTATTATTATTATTACTGTGACTGCCACACACTCTCGGCCCCAGAAAAACTTGGGATAAGTTCGCCTTAGGGCACGCAACAAAGTTTGCTAGCATGAAACCTGGAGAGGGCTCCTCTACCTTTAGTGACTGTAGAATCATAGAATCATAGAATCAAAGAGTTGGAAGAGACCTCATGGGCCATCCAGTCCAACCCCCTGCCAAGAAGCAGGAATATTGTATTCAAATCACCCCTGACAGATGGCCATCCAGCCTCTGTTTAAAAGCTTCCAAAGAAGGAGCCTCCACCACACTCCGGGGCAGAGAGTTCCACTGCTGAACAGCTCTCACAGTCAGGAAGTTCTTCCTCATGTTCAGATGGAATCTCCTCTCTTGTAGTTTGAAGCCATTGTTCCGCGTCCTAGTCTCCAGGGAAGCAGAAAACAAGCTTGCTCCCTCCTCCCTGTGGCTTCCTCTCACATATTTATACATGAGCCAATTTCATCCAGCCAGGTAACAAGTAACGTGCTGAAATTCCTGCTTCTGCACAATCATGAAAGCACAGGAGCCCTCTTCAGTTTTCACTCTAACAATCCAATACTAGAAGTTTTAATTTTCTTCAGTATTACTCGGTTTACTAGGAAGTAACTCCCTTTGTAAATTCCCATTATCAAATATTGTACATATAGCAGACAACTACAGGTGCATGTGTGCTTGTCAAGCATACAATAGTGGTGTGTGTGTGTGTGTGCATACTCACACATGCACAAATAGATACAGGAAGTGGGTTAAGGACCTGAGGACTGTCAGAAAGTGGAATCAGTTAAAAACTGGAACCTAGGATATTTTAGCTTGCAAATACATGTTGGCCATTGAAAACCATAAATAACATACTATACATCACTTTTAAATATGTGATCAAACTAAAGAAGTTGCTGTGAGTTTTCTGGGCAGTATGGCCATGTTCCAGAAGCCATACAGCCAGGAAAACTCACAGCAACCCAGTGATTCCGGCCATGAAAACCTTCAACAACACAAAGAAGGGCCTGTTCCTTCCATAGGCAAGCCTTGAGAGTGAGCAGGTATAGAATCAGAGTTGGAAGAGACCTTGTGGGCCATCCAGTCCAACCCCCTGCCAAGAAGCAGGAAAATTGCATTTAAAGCACCCCCGACAGACGGGAGGTACAAACAAGCAGTCTTAACTGAGCTTCATACGTGAGAATTAAGGAAAGCACAGATTCCTCATCAAACTAATGGAACATGTAACTTGCAAGCTTGAAAAAGTGAGCTGTCAGAAAGTGAGATTTCACAGGAGAGCCTGCACGTGCCTTCAAGTTGCCTGTTGACTTTATAACACCCCCATGAATTTCCTAGAGTTTTCTTAGGTCCCTTCTATGCTGCCATATAAAATCCATAGTAACTTATTTGAACTGTATTATATGGTAGTGTAAAGGGGGTCTTAGACAAGGGATACTGAGAAGGGTTTTCTCGAATTCCCTTCCCTAAAATGTTGCCCACGGCACATGGTATTCATTGAGGATTTCCTACCCAAGGACCATCTAGGTCTGATCCTGCTTAGAATCCAAGATCAGACCGGATATGGTGCCTTTAAGGCAGTGTATCTCAACCTGGGGGTTGGGTACCCCTGGGAGGATCACGAGGGGGTTTCAGAGAGGTCACAAAAGAAAGTAATTTCTGTTGGCCATGGCGGTTCTGTGTGGGAAGTTTGCCCCAATTCTATCATTGGTAGAGTTCAGAATGCTCTATGATTGTAGGTGAACTATAAATCCCAGCAACTACAACTCACAAATGTCAAGGCCTATTCTCCTCAAACTCCACCACTGTTCATATTTGGGCATATTGAACATTCGTGTCAAGTTTGGTCCAGATCCATCATTGAGTCCAGAGTGCTCTCTGGATGTAGGCAAACTACAACTCCAAGAGTCAAAGTCAATGCCCACCAAACCCTTCCAGTATTTTCTGTTGGTCATGGGAGTTCTGTGTGCCAAGTTTGGTTCAATTCCATCGTTGGTGGAGTTCAGAATGGTCTTTGATTGTAGGTGAACTACAAGTCCCAGCAACTACAATGCCCAAATGTCAAGGTCTATTTTCCTCAAACTCCACCAGTGTTCACATTTGGGCATATTGGGCATTCGTGCCAAGTTTTGTCTGGATTCATCATTGTTTGAGTCCACAGTGCTCTCTGGATGTAGGTGAACTACAACTCCAAAACTCAAGGTCAATGCCCACCAAACCCTTCTGGTATTTTCTCTTGGTCATGAGAGTTGTGTGTGCCAAGTTTGGTTCAATCCCATTGTTGGTGGAGTTCAGAATACACTTTGATTGTGGGTGAACTATAAATCCCAGCAACTACAACTCCCAAATGACAAAATCAATACACACACCCCAACCCCCACAAGTATTCAAATTCGGGCATATTGGGTAAATTAGGTTCAGTGAATGAAAATACATCCTGCATGTCAGATATTTACATTATGGTTCATAACAGTAGCAAAATGACAGTTGTGAAGTAGCAACGAAAATAATATTATGGTTGGGGGTCACTACAACATGAGGAATTGTATCAAGGTGTCGCAGCATTAGGAAGGTTGAGAAAAACTGTTTTTGGGGCAAAAAGGGCCACCACACGAATGGGAAAGGATGGAGGCTGACCAGTAAAATGGTGTTGTGGCCCCATGCAGGGCATTTTCTCTCCCACTTTTGGTTTTGCAAATGTTTATGAGGCGGAGATGTGTGGACCCTTCCTGTCCTTACACGTAACTAGGAGTTGCGTCCCGAGATTTGGACGAAGTTGTTGCTCGCCTGCAAAGTCAACCTTCCGGAACACACCTGGTGCCTTTTGAAGGCAGTCCCTGGCACGCGAGGGGTATACAAACAAACACACAACCGCTCCAAGTACACCAGGAAGAGCATTCAAGTTTGCTTTGAAATGGGGCCAGGACAAGCTCTGCAAGGAGAAGAGAGAGTTCAAGAACCCAACGGTGAACTAGGAAGGGAGGAAACCCCGACCACTTTGGGGCGAGCAGAGCCCGAGTAAATGGTAATCTCTTTGCATGAACGCGGGGAAATGCTTGATGGGTTCTCTCCTGAAGTGGGCGGGGAATGGCTTCTGAAATGGCGAAGCGGCAGAGCGGGAGGCTTCGGAGAGAAAGAGAGAGCAGTGGGGCGCGAGTTCGAGGCTCAGGTGGAGAGAAATCTGGTCTTCTCTCCTCCCTCCAATTGCAAGCGTCCTAGCGCCCCGGGCTGCTTGTGTCCGAGGCGTATTCACTTCCTTGCTAGAAAAGCAGCTCCAGGCCTAGTGCCCGCTTCCCCTGTGGATCCCGGGTTCCACCGGCCAGGGCATAATTTTAGCCATACTGTAGAATTAGAGCACATTGACACCGTTTTAAGCGCCTTGGCTCACTTCACTTTAGTGTCTAGGCAGGGAAGTCATGCTCCCCCTCTATTCTGCCTTGGTGAGACCACACCCGGAATATTGTGTCCAATTCTGGGCACCACAATTGAAGAGAGCTGGAATGTGCCCAGAGGAAGGTGACTAAAATGATCAAGGGTCTGGAGAACAAGCTCTATGAGGAGCGGCTTAAAGAGCTGGGCATGTTTAGCCCGAAGAAGAGAAGGCTGAGAGGAGACATGATAGCCATGAATAAATATGTGAGAGGAAGTCACAGGGAGGAGGGAGCAAGCTTGTTTTCTGCAGCCCTGGAGACTAGGATGTGGAACAATGGCTTCAAACTACAAGAAAGGAGATTCCATCTCCAGGCATGTAGCGGGGGGGGGGGGGGGGGGGGG